AATTAAAAAGGGTATACAGAGTAAAGAATTGCATTTCTGCATCCATTTTTCTCCCTAGAGGTAGCCAAGATAACTAGTTTTTTATGTTTTTACCAAGATATAGTACATGAATATTCAAGCAAGTGTTATGTTTTATGTGTAAATGATCACACAATTTTTAGCCTTTCTCCACCTGTTTTTATTTAATAAATCTTAGAGATTATTCCCTATCAATAGTTTTCTCAATCTGCTTACTGAGTAGTATAGTATAGCATTGTTCAAATACAGTGTACTTTATTTAATCCTTACTGGAGGAGACTGAGGTTATTTCCATTTCTTCCTAAAGCAGTGCTCCACTATGTAAATATCATTGCGTATATGTCATTTTAGACAGGTGCCCCTACTGTAGGACAAATTCTTAGTGAAATTGATCAAACAAAATACAAGATATTGGCTGTATTCTTGTCAAAGTCATGAGGAATTTTTTCCACTATATATATATTTTTTCAGATATCCATCTATATGTGTGTATACATGTATCTGATTTGATTTAAGTACCCTAAAGAGCCCAAGGACATCTAGAGAGGTTAAGTACAAACATGTAGTGGCACTTTATCTCCTCTCTGCCCAAGTTATGCCAGCAGTGCAGACTAATTTCCAACAACTCTAGAAAGTTTTCACGTCAACTTCTTTGAGCCTCAATTTCTTCATCTTTGTTAGGAGGACTTGGTTTAAAAAAGAATTTTTTTTTTCCAGGCTTGGCGCCTGTAGCTCAAGCAGCTATGGCGCCAGCCACATACACCAGAGCTGGCAGGTTTGAATCCAGCCCGGGCCTGCCAAACGACAATGACAACTACAACCGAAAAATAGCCGGGCGTTGTGGCGGGCGCCTGTAGTTCCAGCTACTTGGGAGGCTGAGGCAAGAGAATCGCATTAAGACCAGGAGTTGGAGGTTGCTGTAAGCTGTGATGCCATGGCACTCTACCCAGGGCGACAATTTGAGGCTCTGTCTCAAAAAAAAAAATTTTTTTTTCACCATTCCTGCCCCAACCCTAAAGGTTTCCTGCGCGCTCGGGCACTGACTCGGAAACCTATTATTTTTTTGCGCGACAAGCAGCAGTGGGTCCCGCTACCCTAAGCCAAGCAAAGACGGGAAAGCACAGAGATGCATCTCCTTGCGGCGCCTAGACAGGCCCCGGAAGTGTCCGGGACGGGAATCGGTGACGCCTTCCGGCTAGGGATTTTACTTTCTGTCGCAGCATTAAAGCGTATAGTTGTGGAAAAGGGGAGGTCGGGGAGAGAGACCCGGCGCATCAAGGCTGGGTGGTTGAGCCACGAACGGTGGTGCGCCCCAGCTTTGGGGAAAATGGATCAGGGCCTTAGGTTTGCTCTTTTTTCTTCTAATAGCGTGCGTCCGAGGTCAGCAAATGCTGGAGAAACATGCGTTCTACTCTAACCGCCCAGAGGCGCTGTAGTGACGCCGAGGCAGCAGCCTGGGTAATGGCTGGGAGGTCCAGGGACGCCGGATCGCCCCTGTGTGACGGACTTTTGACCGTGAAAGTGGAGGAAGACTCAACCGGAGGTGGAGAGTCCGACCAGCCCGTGGCCTGGGAGGGTCCTGAAGCTTCTCGACGGCGTTTTAGGCAGTTGCGTTACCAAGAGGTGGCTGGACCAGAAGAGGCGCTGAGCCGGCTCCGAGAACTTTGTGGTCAGTGGCTGAGGCCTGAGGTGCACTCGAAAGAGCAGATTCTGGAGCTACTGGTGCTGGAGCAGTTCCTGACCATCCTGCCCGAGGAGCTGCAGTCTTGGGTGCGGGAGCACTGCCCGGAAAGTGGGGAGGAGGCTATAGCCGCCGTGCGGGCTCTTCAGAGAGCGCTTGATGGGACCTCGCCCCAGGTGAGAAGTGAAAGGCCTGTTCGGGGTGCTGGAACTGTGGATGCTCTGACACACGTCTACTTTCCTTCCGTATTACACTTTGTTTGAACTTTAGGATGTTCGTGAACTTTCCTTTCCACAGGGAACAGTGACGAATCTATCCAGAAAACGACGTGGTTATTTTATATTATAATGACGTGTCTGCAAAAACTCAACACAGATTACTGTTAATCCATTGTAAGGCACACTCTTTGCCTTGACTATTTGGGGAAGACAGGTGTCATCATGGAAAGTGGGCTTATAGCCAATTTTTAGAACAGCAGTTCCCCACCGTTTTGAATGTGAAGATCTTTTTTTGCTTTCTAACAGTTTGGCGACCCCTTCCTCCCACATTGATAATGGTTGTCCTTTTTTATTTTTCAATTTATCCGGTGTTCTGTGCAGCGCAGCACTGGTGAGCTTTCACCAAAGAAGAGTCAATATAATTAATAGAATAGTGTTGAACTTTAAATGAGCCTTGTTTCACTGAGAGACAGCAAGTATACCTAATTATGTACTTTTTGTTTCTTATCACTTATAGTTGCTACTGGATCAAACAAGCAAAAGCTAAATAATTTTGTTCATCAAAAACCTAAATAATTTTGTTCATCAAAAACCTACTGTGCAAGGCTGAGTGCAGTGGCTCACACCTGTAATCCCAGGGCTCTGGAAGGCTCAGATGGGTGGATTGCCTGAACTAGCCTGAGCAAGAGCTATACCCTATCTCTAAAACTAGCCAGGCATTGTGGCAGGCACCTGTAGTCCCAGCTACTTGGGAGGCTGAGGCAAGAGAATCACTTGAGCCCAAGAGTTTGAGGTTGCT